GTTCTGGTGCATTTTCTTCCACAGGAGAGTCATCTGGTGTTTTATTTTGGATGCCTGCTGGAACCATCCTGTCCTGTTTTTGTAAATGTTTTGATATTGTCTGCTGTTTTCAGGGCATTCAGTAGTTATTTTTCACATTTATTGATTGTCGATTTGTTTGTTTCGTCCCTTTTTAAAAAAAAAAATTTGACTGTGTCTGAGCAAGTGGACTGTGTGTTCTTTGTTGTTTGCTCTTTTGTGCTCTCAATACTTTTCACCTTCTTCTCCAACTGGCAGGGTGAGTCACTCAGATATGGTACAGCAGGGCAGGTCTAGCTGAAGAGGAGTTACCGGGATGGGTTGTTTGTGGCACTTACTACAGCCACCAGGGCAGGTCGGTAATCAGTGCAGGGCAGGTTCCAGTAGTCCGTGCCTGTGCTGCTTGGTGGTGTGATGTCAAGTGCACGGTGCAAGTAGGCAGGATGCAGCGGGGAGATTGTTATGTGTGAAGCTAAGATGGATATGAGAGAGAGGAGAGAGGAACAGGAGCCAAAAACATACAAACAAAAAAGAATGCTAGGAGAGCTTGCCATTGGAATGGAGAGATGAGAGGCTATGAAATGGAGAAAAACAGAAAGGGGAAGAGGAAGAAAAGAAAAGAATGAATAAATAAAAATCAGAAAGATTAAAGAAACGCAAATTTCCCAGGGATCCCACCGATGCAGCTGTGAGGTCTGGGGAAGTCGCTCTCAGGTGTTGCAGTACAGCCTGACTAGAAGGCGTAGAGGTATACAAGGCCTGGTATTCAGGGATCGGTTGTTTTGTCTCCCGCTGGATGCTCCGTGAGGCTGCTTTCTCGTACCCCCATTTGCTGGTCTCCGATAGGAGTCCAAGATGGTGGATCCATGCTGCGTTAGCTGGTAGGGGACCTCTGCATGAATTTCTCCCCACTCTCCGTTCTCTGTCAGTTTTCTCACTCCATTTGGTGCTTGGCTGAGTTCTTTATCTCTTCATTTGATGTTTTAGGTTTTCAGGATTGTTGTATTCTCTGTTTGGCTTAGTTTTTCGGATCTTTGCTGTGGAGGAACGGCGTGGTGCTTCTGCCTAGAGCGCCATTTTGCCAGAACTCCCTCATTAATCTACTTTTGAGAACGCATTTGTTACCTTAGGTTACTAACATTAAGTTAGAGAATGTATGAGGAATGCTAACTATAATGCCTAGGGCACAGGAAGCATTCAAAGGCAGCTGTTATTATAATCATTGGGGTTTCTGTGTTTTCTAAGGAAATAAACTATTTTTCGGGGAAATACTAAATATTTAGCCAAAATTTATAAACATGTCCTTGTTTTTTAAAAAATTTCTTTTTAAAGTTGAGTTATTTCCTTTATGAAAGTTAGTACATAATTTTAGAAAGTGTAAAGTGTTCAAGTTATGCTGCTGGATTCTAGAAAATGGCAGTTTATGAAACTGATGCTGTTAAGAGTCAATATAGAATACATGACGTTAGCCATATAGTATCATTTTCTAATAGGTGGTTTGCAAAGTTTGCAGTTTTCTCAGTTCATTGTCAATTGAATTATAGTATGTTGCTGAGCCAGAATGTTTTAGTAATCTATTGTCATGTAACAAATCACTTAAAACTTAATAGCTTAAAACAATTTATTATTAATCTATCAAGGTTCAGTGGTTGACTGGGCTCAGCTGAGCTGGACGTACAAGCCGGCATACTCCGGTGGCTGGCAGAGATAGTGCTGGCTGTTGGACAGTTGCTCACCTGGGGCTGTGGACTGGAGCACCTATAACTTCCTCTCTATATGACTTGAATGGAGCCCTGGTGGCTCAGTGGTTAAGTGTTCGACTGCTAACCAAAGGGTTAGTGGTTTGAATCCACCAGATGCTTCCTTGGAAACCCAATGGGACAGTTCTCCTCTGTCCTGTACGGTCACTATGAGTCGGAATTGACTCGATGGCAACTGTTTGGTTTTTAGCCTTTATATGACTTGGTTTTTGGTTTTTATGTGACTTGAGCTTCTCACAGTATGGCAGCCAAGTCTTGAGAAGGAGTGTCCTAAGGGTAAGCATTCTGAGTGGCAAGAAGTAGAACTGCCAAGCCAGTAAAGGGCTAAGCCTAGAACTGACACAGTTCTACTTTTGCCTTAGTCTGTTGGTCAAAGTAGGCACAGGGCTCTCTCAGATTAAAGAGAGAAGAGAATGAACTCTACCTCTTGAACATGTGGATGGGAGATAGGAATGGCACATGGGTCCCAAAGCTGAGATAGATACCTCAGTTTGCCTTAGCCTGATGACCCTGTGCAATCAGAAAACCTGTTCCCTTTATTCTGGATATATGTACCAAACAATATTCCAGCCTGATGTGACTTCCAGTGTAGATTTTCCTGTGGGAGAAAAGCTCACGCTGACTAGTGAGCCCAAATATTGTGGATGACTTAACAATTCTCTTCTTTGTAAATAATAAAGTAGCTTTCCAGTTTAATCACAGTCTTTTGAGAGTTTAGTAAATATAGATCACTTCTCTTTGGCCTGATTACCCCAAAGTAATTAATTAGACTGTACTCTCTCTACCTTGGATGCAAAGTAATTCCTCAGAGTTGTGTATTTCTGGAAACCAGTCCTAATGCCCAAGTGACCAGTCTACTTGGCCTTTCTTAACTGCCAAGGACTGTATTTTGGTACAAATAATGCCCTTTGAGACAAAATTGGATAGCCTTCGATGGTAAGGCTTTTGCCTTTGAATTAGTTCTCTCTTGATACCTGTTGTGTTTTATTTCTGTTGTTTGTAGAAAATATCAGAGAGCGTTATGGAACCCTAATAGGTGAGCTCCATATGATTGAATTGGAGAAAGGTCGTAGTGGCTTGGGTCTAAGCCTTGCTGGAAACAAAGACCGATCCAGGATGAGTGTCTTTATAGTAGGAATTGATCCCAATGGAGCAGCTGGGAAAGATGGCAGATTACAGATTGCAGATGAGCTTCTAGAGGTAAGCTCTTGTGGAAGACTCTCAATCTACTCTCTCTTAACCCAAGGAAGTAATGATACAGCAGAATAATCAGCTTCCAGAAAATCTACCCAGGCCTCACATTATGACTGAGAAAACTATCGTTTGCCTAATAAAGTAGAAGTATTGCAGCAAAGTTGGCTTTAAACCAAATCTCTACTAAGTTCCCATTAACTTCCATTTAAAGGTCATGACTGTAGCGCCTGAAACAGTTTTTGCCCCAAGACAGTAATAAAGATTGCACTTCAAAAACATCTTTTGTGTGTGTGCTGCATTTTTATTAAAAGTTTTGAAAAGCCAAATGACCAGTCACTCCCCAGTAATGAGGCTGACTCCCTGGGCTTTCTGGAAGTTGAATCCCTAATGGTAGAAGTGATGGGGTGGGGTGGGGTGGGTCAAGGTTAGTCTAAATAACAAAAGCAGTAACTGAACCTGCCAAACAAAATAAATTTGTTGGCCATAACTTTTAAAGTGTTTAGAATTGTATTTGCATGTTTTGTTTGTCCTTCCCTCCGCAAGTCTAGGATCCACATGTCCTGCCTTTATACTCTGCCCTGTGCCCGTGTGTTTGGCTAGGGAGACTCAATCAGGCAAAGGCTCACACTAGAGGGCTGAGCTGGCAGTTCCCATGAGGGACTCTGTCTGCTGCTTAGGCACATTCTGCTGCCCAAATCCTGAATTCACCAGCATTGCTTCTCCCAGCAGCCTTTTCCCAGAGTTTGAGTTTTCAGGTCACCTAGGAAACATGACAGCAGAGGACTTCCCAAGATGGTCTATATAGGCCACAAGTGCTTAGACAGAGCCCTTGCTTGTACAAAGCATGTCAGAAGCCCAGTGGCTGCCGGGAAGTTTACCTCCCCCAGAGTTTGTCCATTGGTACCTCTTAACCATTTGTCACCAGTTGTCACACTACATGTACATTGCTTTAGTGTTGATTTTAAACATCACCGTCAAAAGTCAGGTTCATGTTCTAGGGAGGAGAATGTGTATGGAGCCCTGGTGGTGTAGTGGTTAAGAACGCTGCTGCTAACAAAAAGGTCAGCAGTTCAAATCCACCAGCCATTCCTTGGAAATTCTATGGGGCAGTTCTACCCTGTCCTGTAGGGTTGCTGTGAGTCGAAATCAACTCGACAGCAGTGGGCATGTGTACTTCTTTTAGAGGAAGTATATACTTATTTTAGAGGAAGAAAAGATATGATTTTTATTAGCTAGATGAGGAGCCCTGGTGGCGCAGTGGTTAAAGCGCTTGGCTGCTACCTGATAGGTCAGTGGTTCGAACCCATCCAGGAGCTCCATGGGAGAAAGTTGTAACATTCTGCTTCCGTAAAGATTTACAGCCTTGGAAACCCTATGGGGCAGTTCTCCTCTTCTGTAGGGTCACTATGAGTTGGAATCGACTTGAAGGCAATGGGTTTGTTTGTTTTTCTCTTCTTTTGTTTAGATAAGATGATTTTAAAAAACTAAGAAATTAAAATTCCAGTCTTAATGAATGATCCTTATTTTTCACAGATCAATGGTCAGATTTTATATGGAAGAAGTCATCAAAATGCCTCATCAATCATTAAATGTGCCCCTTCCAAAGTAAAAATAATTTTTATCAGGTGAGCATTTTCTTTTGCTGATTTACCAGATAATTTTTGGTAGTACTTCAGCTCTAAGGTCTTTCGAATGAAAATAAAACATGTTTAAATATATGAGCGTTGTAGTTCTAGGTCTTTGGGGTTAGCGGGTTTTCTCTGCTATCCTCTGACTCTTCAAGTAGTAGAACAGAAATAATATGAATTCTTCTGATGTGTTGATGCTTTTTATTTTAGAAATAAAGATGCGGTGAGCCAGATGGCTGTATGTCCTGGAAATACAGCAGAACCTTTGCCTGCTGCCTCAGGGAATCTTCAAAATAAGGAGGTATATATGGCTTGTGTTTGTTTCTCTGGGAAGATCTGATTGATAGACCACTTATTAATTCAACAAACATTTACTGAATGCTTATAAGGTTATCAAAGATGAATAGGTCATACCCTCAGCCCTTGAGGAATTTATAGCCAAGAAGACACACATGTAGTTAAGTGTAGCACTTACCTGAAGGCTACCAGTAGATGTTTGCATCTAGAACACTGAGGGTAGAAACCCCTTGCCGTCAAGTCGATCCCAACTCATAGAGACCCTATTGGACAGAGGAGAACTTAGGGTTTCCAAGGCTGTCATTTTTTCTCTTTTTTATTGTGCTTTAGGTGAAAGTTTACAGCTCAAGTTAATTTCCCATTCAAAAATTTATACACATACCTTTTAGTGATGTTGGTTGCAGTCCTTGCAATGTGACTGCATGCTCCCCCTTTCCACCCTGGGTTCCCTGTGTCCATTCATCCAGTTCGTGTCCCTTCCTGCCTTTTCATCTTACTTTGGACAGAAGTTGCCCGTTTAGTCTTATATATTTGATCAAATTGAGAAGCACATTCCTCACGTTTGTTATTTTTGTTTTATAGGCCTGTCTGATCTTTGTCTGCAAAGTGGGCTTTGGAAGTGGTTTCGGTTCTGAGTTAGCAGAGTGTCCAGGGGCCATAGTCTCGGAGGTTCCTCCAGTCTCTGTCAGACCAGTAAATCTGGTCTTTTTTCATGAATTTGAATTTTGTTCTCTATTTTTCTAATGTTCTGTCCGGGACTCTTTGTTGTGATCCCTATCAGAGCAGTTGGTGGTGGTAGCTGGGCACCATCTAGTTCTTCTGTGCTCAGGTAGTCTCTGATTCATGTGCCAAGGCTGTAATCTTTATGGAGAGACTGCCACATCTTTCTCCTGCAGAGTGGCTGGTGGGTTCGAACCTCTGACCTTTTTGTTAGCAGCCTATTGCTTAACCACTGCACCACCAGGGCTCCTTGAGGGTAGAAAAGGAATTGTGAATTCTACCTCTAGAGAGAGAGTGGGAAAAGATTTTATAGGGTAGGTAACACGAAGTGTATGTTGGAAGGAAAAGGCTTGGTGGGGGAAACATTGCAAGCAGAGGAGATGGCGTGAAGGCTAGCATGGAGGCTCTGGCAAATGCAGGGGCTTGAATAATGCAGAGTATTACTGAACAGTGAGAGGAAGGCATGGGAGCTGATGGGAAAGGGTAGCTGAAACCATAGATAGGGTCAGATCATGAGAAACTCTTTATCACAGCCTAATATATGTGGACTTTGTGTTTGAGGCAGTGAGGAACTCAGAATGAGAAGAGTATGTTCAAAAACTTCTCTGGCAGTAGTATAGGAAAAAAATCAGAGGTTACAGGGGAGAGGAGTGAAATTAGAGTGAGAAAATTATCAGAGAAATGGAGGAGAAAGATAACAAGGGCCTAGAGTAAGGCAAGAAAAGAGGAGATGGTTATGTTAGATGGTAAGGAACCCAAATTGATAGTATTTCATCCCCAACTAAATGCAGGCATTGAGGGAAAATGAGTGGTTGAGAATTAATTTATCCAAGAAATGTTTATTGAGTATGTGCCTTGTAGGAGCTTCTGTTCTTGAGGCTGGAGGTAAACAGGCGAATAAGGCAGACAGGATGTACAAGGCTTCCAGATGTCTGATGTGGTGACCTGGTGGGTGGCTGACTTTCACCACAATAGGAAATATAGAGAAAAGGAGCAGATATTTGCAAAAAGATAATACGTTTTACTTGAGACAGCTTGAGAATGAAGTAAGTACCCACTGGAAAGCCTGGTAGAGGTGTGCATTGGAACATTTGGTCTAAAGTGTAGAGATGTATTCCTGTAGATGTAGATTCGGCATTCGTTAGCCATGGAGCTGAGGCATTTGCCTACAAAGAGCATTTAGGGAAGAGGGTTAAGGTCAAAATTATGGAATATCAACAATAAGGAGGAAGGCCAAAAAGAGTGGTGGGACAGGATAAGAAGAACCCAGGAGGGCATGTTGCATGACTGCAGGGGAGAGCACATTTCAAGAAGGGTGTATTCCACAACCTGAGTGCTACAAAGAGGTCAGGTAAGAAAGAAGGTGACTAAAGAGAGACCGTTAGATTTGGCAATTAGGAAATTATCAGTGATTTTTGAGAAAAATGATGGATAAGAAATTAGGAGAGAGAGAGGAATGGCTAGGGGGTGATAAAGAGTTAAGGATTTTTTGGTGGTAGTGTTGTTTTGATTGGAAAAGCTTTGCATATGCAGTAGGATGAATGAAAGGAGGTAGTGGAAAGTGAAAGGCTTAAAACTAGGGGAGCCCATGGTAATATCAGTTAGGGGAAGGGGAGTTGTAGGAACAAGAATACTCTTTCCTAACTGAATATATAAACATTGGGTATATCTATACACAAAATTAAGGAGCCCTGGTGACACAATGGAGCCCTGGTGGTGCAGTGATTAAGCGCTCACCTGCTAACCAAAAGGTCTGTGGTTGGAACCCAGCAGCTGCTCCATGGAAGAAAGATGTGGCAGTCTGCTTCCATAAAGATTACAGCCTTGGAAACCCTATGGGGCAGTTCTACTCTGTCTATAGGGTCGCTGTGAGTCGGAATTGACTAGACAGCAATGGAGTTTTTTTTTTTTTTGGTTTGGTGGTACAATGGTTAAGCTCTTGGCTGCTAACTGAAAAGTTGGTGCTTGGAACCTGTCTAGCAGCTCTGCAGGAGAAAGACCTGGCGATCTGCTTTCTTAAAGATTACAGTCTAGGAAATCCTAGGGGAGCAGCTCTACTCTGCCACGTGGGGTCACTATGAGTTGAAATAGACGGCACAGAAACACAGCATACATAAAACAAATGTATGAACTATAGTGTCATTCTAGTTACTCACATTGTTGATTCGAGCCAGGTGGTTATTCAATATGTGTGGGTTATAAAGGAGAAAATTTTATTTTTGCATTGATTGAACTAAACGTGTTCCTTAAGAAAATGGAGTACTATAATGATTTCAGGTAAAAGCTTTTTAATAGTTCCTAAATTCACTTAATGACTAAAACAGTAAAGAATAATGAGTGGTGCCTCTGCTAGTGCTCTAGGTTTCAGTGAGTTTCCCTATTTTGTAGCTGGGTGGCCCTTAGATTTCATTATAGATTAAGTCCAGGCAGACTTGAGTGCCACTTAGCATCTCTGTGCTCTAAGATGTTGCTGTCTAATCATACTGCATACATATTTTGAAGAGAGTATAATGTTTGTAAATGACATTGAATGTTAAAATAGTAATAATGAGTTATACTCTGTGAAATAATTTTGATGAAGTGGCCCTTACATTTAAACAAACAAAAATATATAACACTTGTTTGCCTTTTTGACCATTTCTTTCCCTCTGTCAGGCTGACCCAAGTATTACTACAACTGACCCAGCTATAGACCTCAGTTCATTTAAAAACGTGCAACACCTGGAGCTTCCCAAGGTAAATGTGCTTGAAATTAGAATGAAATGGTGTTGAGGACCTTCACACCAGTGTTCTGATTCACTGATTCTCAAAGTGTGGTCTCAGACCAGGCGCATCAGCATCCCTCGGGAACTTGTTAGAAATATTAAGTGCATCGGCCCAGCCAGACCTACAGAATGAGAAACTCTGGGAGTGAGCCCAGCAAACTGTGTTTTAACAAGCCCTCCAGGGGATTCTGATGCTTGCTGAAGCTTGAGAACCACTGGCCTAAGTGATACTTCAACAGGGGCTCAGCATTTACTGTCTTCATGATTATCCTAAGGTATGAAATGTAGCCTTCTCTTCTTTGATTGATTTACCAAGGACCTGCGCTGGAGGAAATAAGGAATAAAGAAATAGAAGTTACAGTCTTTGTCTCTCATGAAACTGAAAGCTCAAATAACTAGAAGTTCTCACTGATAGGCAGGGGTGGATTATCCAATAGGCAAGGTAAGCACAGTGCTTACTTTGCTTACCAGATCATCTATAGTGAACAATTTCACATTTTTTCACCACATCAAAAAATCTGCTTTTAGGTATGGCTGGCATCTTTCTGTCTCCCGACCCCACAGCACCTTCCTACAGAATCAAAGCCTCTTTTCAAATTTAGAATCCCTGACGGGGGTGAATGACCCAGTAAGCAAGGTAAGCACAGGCTAACTTGTGTTTACTTACTAATCTGTAGTGAACAATTTCACATAGGTTTCACCAAATTTTTGATGGTGCTGAAACCCATGTGAAATTGTTCACTACAGATGATCTGGTAAGCAAAGTAAGCACTGTGCTTACTCCGCCTATTGGATAATCCAGCCCTACTAATAGGCACCAGTGATGTATTTGCTTTTGAAAATATCTGAATATAGGTTTAAGTGACTGCTTTAACGGAGTGGTTTGCTGACCAGAAACTCATAAATGCTTTCAGGTACTGCAGGCTGCTTCTGGAGAGCAGGTGAAAAGTAGATGAACAAGAGTAGAAGCAGAAAGAGTGGTAAAGTGCTCAGGCAAGAGAAGAGGGTAGAAGGATATTTACATGAAACACTGCAGACAAAGAGGAGTGGTCTATTGCCATTCTCCTGCTAGGAGGCCACGCAGCATGATGCTGAAGAGCCTGGACGCCAGAGTTAGTCTGTCTGGGGTGAATCCCTGCTCCATCGGGCATGTACTTGACACACTGATGACCTCTTTGTGCCTCAGTTTCCTCATCTGTAAATTGGAATGATAATAGTACCCGTGTCTTGGGTAATTGTAAAAAATTAAGTGAATTGCTTATAACATGGTCAGCATAATGCCTGGCACATGGTCAGCCTCTTTAAGTATTTATGGAAAAAAATACCCTGACTATATTGATTTGGTTTCTATTTTCCAGTAGATAACCCTGTACAAAAGTGGACTGGTCTGATCTTGTTCAGGTAGCTGTAACAGGAGTCCTTGTTATGGGCTATTTGTGTTGTAGGCAGGGGGAAAACAACAGAGGTCATTAAAGCTCTTTGCCCTTTCTAGCGAGAATTCATACACTCAGTTCAAGAATCCTTCATTTTATTGCCAATGAAGAGAGCTAATACCTTCCTCTTTCCCCAGCTGATTTTAGGGCTTTGTGTTTTGTTCTGTTTTCCTTCTAAGTCCTGAGGCAGTCTATAGTATTTAACAGTGCAATCATTTCCCTATAATTTGCTAATTATGAAACAATTTAAATGTATACCGAGTTCATTATGATGAATTATTTTTTTTTCAATCTTGGTTTTTGTTTGTCTTTAGAATAGTCCAAAATAAGATAATTTTTAAACATATATCCTTTTTTGTTGTTGTTGTTGTAAATATATACATAACACATTTGCCCATTCAGCATTTTTCACGTGTACAATGTAGTGATATCAATTACGTTAAGCCTGTTATACAGCCACCAGCTTAACATATATCCTTTTATGGCATTGATTCTAATTGATTCACCCAGCCTGTGTACATCCTGGGATGTAATGAGTGCCCAGGAAGTGTCGGTGGTATTACTTGTAAAATAGCTGAACAAGGAGCAGAACACAGTGATTTAAAGCCAGACCACCTGGGTTGGAGTAAAGGGTAGACTGGCAAAGAGATGACTGACTGCTTCTCTGTTTTCTATGATGCTGTCTCATCCAGCATCAGGCTACCTAATTAAGGTGTTCCACTGGTGTATACATCATCTCAAGCCCCTGCTCAGAACCTTGTCTGAACTTCCATTATTAAACAGATAAATGCAAGCTCTTAACCTGACCCTCAGCAATGGGGGTGGACAGAAGCCTGCGCTGGCTATCATAAACCCTCCTCACATACATCCTGAGTGATCTCTGATGAAGCACTTAATCACATTGGTCCTAGTTTGCTCTTTTGTAAATGGGGCTGCCTACATCAGAGGAGTCAAAGCCACTATCGCTGAACATTTGGTTTTGATGAAAAGTGGAAAATACAGACAAAGTAGGGTAGCTCTCCAGCCAAGGGTTTCAGTGCAGGTCTGTGCTTAGAGTTGAGAGCATTTTCACTCTGCGTGAATCAAAATGCAAGTCTCTGAAGAAACAGCTCTGGGTATTTGGTCCTAGAAAGGACAAAGCATGCAGCAGTAATTGCAGTCTATCTGCAAAAAGAACACAGGTGGCAGAAGGGGATGAAAGGACTGGGCATGGTTGTTATTTCTAAGCTACATACCAGAAAGAGAGGAGGCAGGATACTTTGGTTGGTTTTAAATGACTTATTTTGTCAGCCAGTTACACAAGACTAAATTTGCAAAGGTTGCATGTTGTTGACTAAATTATTGAATGCATCTTGGTTATCCAAATATTTTCCTAAAGTCACTAGAGATGTCAGACATATAGGGAGACTGAAAATATTTCAATATTTGATGGAGGAGAATTGATTCCCGTTAGAAAAATTTGAAAGCTTGCCTAATAAAAGAAGAGATTTCTAATAGTAAACTTCATAAAAAAATTGTTTTTCAAACCCTTGAGTGGAAGGTGACATTTTAGTTATGGTCACAAAACTTCTAAATAAAAATGATCAATTTCAAGTTTTCTTGTTTTTGCTTCTCTAGGATCAAGGGGGCTTGGGCATTGCTATCAGTGAAGAAGATACACTCAGGGGAATTATCATCAAGAGTCTAACAGAGCATGGGGTAGCCGCCAAGGTGAGGCCTTACCATTTTCACTATCACAAAATAGCGGAAAAGGAAATTTCTACTGGTAAATCACTGAGAATCTTCATGTTTCCATCTAGGATGGACGGCTCAAAGTTGGGGATCAGATCTTGGCTGTAGATGACGAAGTTGTTGTTGGTTATCCTGTTGAAAAGGTACTTTTCCGAAAGAAAGTTAATGGTACTGTGAACACATTCTTGGGCCTGGCTGATGTGTGGGCATTGTGGTAAGCACAGGGCACTAGAGCTACATAACTATACTGGATATGTATCCTTAAGGAAAAGAAGAAATTACTTAGAGATTTTTCAATTTTTTTTTTTTGCAATCAAAGTGATGTTATAGTTTTTTTTTCTGTTACCTGGTAAATTATTCAATAGTCAGTAAGCATTTTTGATAACTATCGTTTTCACTTCCCCTTAGAAAAACTTGAAACTACTAAACAAAGGCTTAGTGTTAGGACCAAAGGAATTTTATTTTTTTAAATACATGTTCCCTCCCATAAATATCTATGATGTGTAATGCTTTGTAAACAGATTTTAAGATCACTAAATATATAACTTTAATTGGAGTCAAACAGTTCTTTGTAGTATGCATAATGTTTTATAAACACATCATTAGATATACAACTTTATTAGAGTTAAACAGTTCTTTGTACCTGAGTTTCCTTCCCCTCTGAAGTGATCATAATACTTACCAGAAATCTCATGTGAGACCTTTCATATGTAAGTTCCAGAAAAAGCATTGTCTCCCCTGAGATTTGGCGTGCTTTCCTTCCTTGTGTTGAATGAGCATCCTGTAATTGACAGTGTTTCCATTTCTAACTTGGGCAGCAAGAAGCTCAATTGTCAATTTTTGATTGTTTCAGTAATGTACAGATCAGACCCTTTAACTCATACATCTATGTTTTAACTTTCCACTTGGCTTGATTCTCCTAATGCATAGTGCTTTTAGCATATGTGTTTCCATTTTTTTAAAATTGTTTATATAAGCTGCTTCAGCTTCTTTGTGGAATCAGGAAGTGGGTAAGATTTCCCATTTATCTTGCAAGGTCATAGGGAACAGACATGATTAATTAGAACTATAAAAAGATGAAAAACCTATACTTCTATAAGGAAGAATCTGGTCAGAACTAGACTTAGAGTAGAAATTAATGGTGGTCATAATTATATGTCAGCCAACCAAAGAAAACTAGAGAGCTATTCCTGTCTCTTCTGCCAAACCTAGACAGAATTAGATTCCAGCTATAATTGCATCTTATTTAAGTCTACTGATTTGCCTTTGAATTTTGTTTTTCCTCCACACCAACACCCTACCAGTTTATTAGCCTTCTGAAGACAGCAAAGACCACAGTGAGACTTACCGTCCTTGCTGAGAACCCAGATCCCCAGACTGTTCCTTCAGCATCTGGTACAGTGAATGAGGAGAAAAAGAACAGCTCCCAGCCTCCGATGGTCCCACCTTCCAGCTCCCCAGAACCGGAGCCTATTCGAAGTAAGGGCTGGGCTCCTGTAAGTCCTGTGCACATGGCACTTTTGCACTCTACAGAGGGTCCCAGCCTGGGAGCCCACTACCTGCCTGCCTGTAGTCACTGTGAAAGTCTATTGTGACAGGGCCTTTGGTGAGAGAATGATATGAGCAGAGGAGTACCTGAAGAAAGAGCACAGGACTGTGAGGCAGACAATCTGTGGGCTATGCATTAACCAGCCACAGGTCCTTAGGAACAACCCACCCACCCACCCACTCTGAGCTTCAGCTTCTTCATCTCTAAAAGAAGGAGGTGATACTTTTTGCTTCCCAAGGACCTTTTGCAGAGGGATCCTGTCATTCCAGGTTTCTGAGTAATGAGAAGCATCATTCTGTGTACTGCTTTCTGACACTGGGCAAGTGCTTTAACTTCTCTGAGCCTCAATTTTCTAATATGTAAAATGGATACAATTATCCTACTTCACAGGCAGGATCAACAGTGCCTAACACTAAAAAAACTAATAATAATAATAAAACCTTTAAAATTCTAGTCATTACCACAGTCTAAGGAGTCCTGGTGGTGCAGCGGTTAAACGCTCAGCTGCTAACTGAAAGGGTGGTGATTTGAACCTACCAAGGGGCTCCGAGGAACAAAAGACCTGGAGATCTGCTTCAGTAGAGATTACAGCCTAGAAGACTCTATGGGGTAGTTCTTCTCTGTCACATGGGGTCACTGTGAGTCGAAAGCAACTAACTCACTGGCACGCAACAGCAACCACAGTGTACGTCATAAATGTGAGTTCTGTGGTTTGGGTGTAATAGTAGATCTGTGAAAATAAATGAAATGGGTGTGTGTGAACCCTGCTGTGATACTTCAGTGTCTCATTAAAATGCCGGTCTAGGATATGTAGGCACATTATTCCTTTGAATTACTTTTTGAGAAAAATTATGCTGGTATTTAACAATAAATTTCATGCTTGCCAGCATCAAAAAAAAAAAAAAATCTTAAACATGTTGGACTTCTCTGCAACTTGAAGAAAAAAAATATTTCTTCGGCCTCCAAACTATGAAATATTCAATTCTTTTGGCAGGTTTTTAGGGAAGCAGTAGTTTCAAACATTTGCAATATAGTTGGACAAAAAAAATCTTAAAGTAGTAACACTTGATCAAAGTGATTGTTTATTTAGAAAAACTAGATAATTCACTGAAGTGTTAAAAGATTTTATGGAGATTTTCTCAATTTTAGATTTTATGTTGATCCCCAAATAGTGTTGTGTATAAAAATAGGAAGTGCTAAATGAAAATGTAACATAAAAGAAATATCATACACCTGTTTTTACCATTTCAAGAATAAGACAATAGTTTCCGATTTCCTAAAAAGAGAACATTTTGGCTAAAAGCATAGGCTACTCTACCAATTTTCCCTAGCTGTCTGAAGCGTGCTATTTTGTGTATCATAAAACATACAAAATGAAGACTGTCGTAAAACAAGATGTGAAACTCTATTCTCTTTGTCCTATCATAATCTTTCTTATTCAAATCTGAGCATATATGCACCAGGATTTAATACTTGGGTTTATAAAGCATCAAGTAAGACCCAAGGAAAGAATCTGCAAGTTGGTCTCATTTGATGTTTTATAAACGCAGCTATTCCATACAGATGTCTATATGCTCAGATTTGAGTAGCTAAAAATAGATGCGCTAGGATAAGAAGAAACAAAATGGAAAACATAAATCAAAATCTAAAACATAAAAAGCCCTGAAAGGCCCCATGAGCAGAATTACTAATGAGGGCTGGGTTCCACGGTCTTCCCTGAACGTGGTTCTAGGTCTCTGGCACACACCTCAGTTCCCAGTTTTACAGATCATAATTTCCTATGAAGACGTGCTTGGCACCAGTGAAATGTAGACTATGAAAGTGAAACTAGAGATTCAGTTCAACTCTGTGTTCTAGCTCCTTTATACATATTTTTTCTAGCAATTAAAAAATTATAGACTAGCACAGAAAATAATTTAAACAAGAAATTTTGTGCCTACCACCCTAAATTAACAATGATGCCTTAATCATAGGTATCTGACTTTTTAAATATAAAATAATTAGAAGATTAAAGGTAAATTTGAAGTGTCCTTTGTCTCTGATCTTGGGCCCGCTTTGTTGTTTCAAACCACAGAGGAAACCAGTGTGGTGAGTTTGATGTATCTCCCTTCTAATCAATTTTGATTTGTATTTCATTTTATTTTTAAACTTATTTTAGGTACAAGCAGGTCATCAACACCAGCAATCTTTGCCTCTGATCCTGCAACCTGCCCTATCATCCCTGGCTGTGAAACAACTATTGAGATTTCCAAAGGGCGAACAGGGCTGGGCCTGAGCATCGTTGGTGGGTCAGACACACTGCTGGTGAGTGCGATTCAGAGATGCTCCAGATACAGAGACAGCCCATCAGCCTAGCAGCTCTCACCTGGGAGGTTTTTATCAATTTTATTAAGTGATGTATAAAGGCTTAGAAAAACGTATCACTCATTGTCACTTTAATTTAGTAGCATAGATATTTAATTAGGTATTGGAATTTTTACTTTGAGTAAACCAATACTGAATCAATAAAATGTATTACAGTTGTGACCGTAACCTTTAGGTTTCAAAATATTTCTTTCGGGTCACTAGTCCTTGCTGTATTTTAATTTTCTTTTTTACTGACTGGTTATGGTTGGATTAGACCAAAGAGGAGTCTGAAAAATTGGATAATTTGTAGACAAAATTTCCTAAGGGCTAAAAATGCTTTTAAAATATAATAATTTCATTTGTAGATGGGAAAGGTGATATATATATATAAAATATATATAATATATATTTTATTTACATATTAGATAGTTTTTTATTTAATTGTTCCTACCATTAGAAAAAAAGTATGTGTTTTTGAGCCTTTTAGCAAAAAATGTGTTCTTAAATTTTTACTTGATTTTTGATATGTGACTCACATATAGATATGGTCAGTATATAACTCTAAAAGTACAGTGTGTTTTGACTCCATATCTGCTCACCATTCTTAAGGACGATGGGATAAAGCATTGATATGTTTTCCTTTGGCCCTTAGGGTGCAATTATTATCCATGAAGTTTATGAAGAAGGAGCAGCATGTAAAGATGGAAGACTCTGGGCTGGAGATCAGATTTTAGAGGTACAGAATGCTATGTATTTGACCTTTACAATTAACAAAGAAAAGTCTACTCTCTGGAAGGTTTTGTTTTGCTTTTTTTCTCCCTCCCTCCGTTCCTCCCTCCCTTCCTTCCTTCTTTCTTTGATTTGCACTTGACTTCACTCGCCTGCTTCCTCACAGCATCCCATTTTTGTACAGGTGAATGGAATTGACTTGAGAAAGGCCACACATGATGAAGCAATAAGTGTCCTGAGACAGACTCCACAAAGGGTGCGCCTGACTCTCTACAGAGATGAATCTCCTTACAAAGAGGAGGACGTGTATGACACCCTCACCATTGAGCTGCAGAAGAAGCCAGGAAAAGGCCTGGGATTAAGTATTGTTGGTAAAAGGTATGACTGAGGAGACAAACCCATTGTGGAAACCATAAGATTTTGACTTTTTGGAAATGATTGAGCTTATCTTCTTTTAAAGAGTGATAGCAATAGTTGAGTCTTTATCAACTGCTAGTGTTTTGTTGTTAACTATACTCAGCCCAGAAACCATGGCGGCATAATGGTTAAAAGCTACGGCTGCTAACCAAAAGATCGGCAGTTCAAATCCACCAGGTGCTCCTTGGAAACCCTATGGGGCAGTTCTCCTCTGTCCTAGAGGGTTGCTATGCGTCAGAATCAACTTGACAGCAATGTTTGCTTTTTTTTTTAATAGCCCACTTGTTAATAGAGTATCAAAAGGCATTGTTTTTGAACTTCTTATGTCAGTATTTTGGGAGATTCTGAAGGTACTCAACAATTCCCAACAAAAAGTCACTTGGTAATTTTTGAATACCTGCCATATACCAGGAAATACAGTATGTTCTGGGGAACAAGGTTAAATAAGACATGATCCCTGACTTCAAAAAACTCAGAGTCTGATGAGTTTCTTTGAACAAAGCAGTGTAGTAAGTTGAATGACAGAGATGCATTGTAGGAGAGCTATGGGCCCTATTTAAGGGAAGTGAATTAGGGAAAACTTCCTGGAAAGCCTTGGAAGCCAAGAACATGCCATCAGAAGGGAACTGAAAGCATAAAGTGAGGGGCTAAGCATGGTGGCAGATTGATTAGTGTACACATACTCAGTACCTAATTTATTTAAATATTCACATGTAAAAAATATTAATGAGTATATAATCCAATGAGTCTCCTAAATATTTCTTTTTCTTTGTACTATGAGACCATCTGAATCTGATCTTCAGAATATACCAGATAGTTAAGCAAATGAAGTCAGCATTCATTCTTTGACCACCTCTCACTGAAAAGCTTCTCTATAGCCTGCAACAGCCCTGAGTTCAAACCACCATCCTTCAGCCTCAGAGACCCACAATTTCAAAACAGTTTATTTCTTCCAGTGAGCAGATTCTTTGTTCAAAAATCTGGGAAATTGTGACCTTTCTGTCAGAATGCCCTTCTTCGGGATCACCATGCTTCAGATTGCCCAGGTCAGCACCCTGCTCACCTTGTTCGACAGCGAGGCTTCGAAATGCGAATCAAAGGACATTTTACACCAGTGTGTTTTTCATAGACAATGACGGGCTTTTTTTTTTTTTAACACAAGAAAGAATGTAGGAATATTATTTAAATCTCAGTGAGAATATGTCTTAAAATGGAACGCTTCTTTTGGAATATAATATCAGAAGTCCGGTTCTTCTGCAATACGAGGCAGCTGAAATTTATTTTGGATACCAGTGTACTTCAACATATGAAGTTACCAGGTTACTGTAAAACATTTCATTAATGAATCCTAAATTATTTGCCTTGGGAAGAGCATACAAATACTATCTAATCCAACACTCTTATTCTAAAGATGGGAAGCAGAAAATCAGATGGTGAAATGGCGTGTTTGCGGTCCATGACCTTGGCAAGAACAAGTGATACAATTCAGGCTTTGCTATACATTTTTACCTTCAGTTTTCTTTGTATTTTAACAAGGAGCTTTGGGTTTTCTTAACAGTTTTATGAGAGAAAGTAGGATTGGAAGAAGAATAGTGTTGTTCATTTTGTGTAAGTCTATATTGTGTTAAAGCTAGATTCATAATGATTTAAATAATATAGGACAGAGTAGAACTGCCCCATAGGGTTTCCTAGGCTGTAATCTTTATGGGAGCAGATCACCAGATCTTTTCTCCCACAGACAGACTAGACCAACCAACCTTTCAGTTATTAGCTGAGCACGTAACCATTGAGCCAACAGAGCTCCTTCAGTTGATAATACACATCAGTTATTTGTTTTCAATAATGTTAATAATGTTGATAATAATAACAAAGTATTTATATGACCCAGGTACCCATTAAGGCTTCTTAATAGTGTGGAAAGAACAATAGACTGGCTCTATTTCCCATTTTTGCCATTTACTGGATATGTAACCCATAAAATGAGAATAATAGTATCCACTTTTACTCATAGTATAAAATTATTGGAGATTGAGTACGCTCATGAAACATCATTTTAATCTATGGGCTGTTATAAAACATTTTATTATTTATCCCAAAAAAATACTTCTAATGGTACTGTCTCAGTGTTGCTGAAAACAATAAAACTTTTAAAGTCATAAAAATAGAACTAAAATTTTTTATTAAAAATGTTAGCTTTTCCTTAAATAAGCATTGCTTTGCAGTTGAGACTAATAATGTTAAAATTCAAAATTGTATTTGCAGAAATGATACTGGAGTATTTGTGTCAGATATTGTCAAAGGAGGAATTGCAGATGCTGATGGAAGGCTGATGCAGGGAGACCAGATATTGATGGTCAATGGAGAAGACGTCCGTAATGCCACCCAGGAAGCAGTTGCTGCTTTGCTAAAGGTAAAAATCAAGTGCCAAAAATAATTTTGTGTAATAATATGTAAGGAGAATGAGAATTTAGCAGTGGGCTGCCATGGTCAAAATAGGTACTGACTTCTTTTTATTTAAAATCTCATCTCAAAAGTAAGATATTTTTCAGTGAAAAATTTCTGAATAGTAAATCTATGATTAGCTATTTATTATATTGTTATACATTTATTGGAGCCCTGGTGGCACCGTGGTTAAGAGCTCAGGCTGCTAACCAAAAGGCTGGCAGTTCGAATCTACCAGCCGCTCCTTGGAAACCCTATGGGGTGGTTCTGCTCCGTCCTGTAAGGTCACTATGAGTCACAATTGACTCAAAGGCAATGGGTTCAGTTTTTTGGTTTTTTGTACACAAATTTATTTAGTGGTAGTAAGAATTATGAACTGAGTACCTGTAATATTAATAAAATTTTTGTCTTTAAGTGAGTATTACGTGGATCTTATTCTTGAAAGTAAAGCACATATCCAGACCACAAAGGAGTAAAAAAAATGCTAACCTCAGTCATCCATATTTCTTCTGGATTCATACTTATGACTTTTGGAGTAAGTGAATACTCTCACGTCCAGCACAGTTAGTCTTTGAAAAGTAACTTTGCAGAAATGCTGCATGTGGGAGATCATGGGAACCAAGAAGGGTGCCCAGGATGCTTCTGGGGTTAATGATTTTGGGCCTTTGCTGTCCCAACCCCTTCCTTGGCTCTTTTCTGAGCATATCAGATTGGATGTCTTCATATTTCTTCCAGAAATGAAGAATGTGGGAGAAGGATTTTACCCTTTATGACTCATAAAAGGAAATGAAAATGTAATTTAGACTATTTTGTTGTATCGGCTTCCTAAGAAGGAAATGTTTTGTCCAGATCTTATTCTGACTCGAAACTATTCAACTATTTAAATTTGACATTTAAAATCAGTGTTAGATGGGTCAGTCTTAAAACATGAAGGTAATTTAATACAGATTGACCTGGCAGCACCTTCACTGGGAAGTATTTCAGCCATTCATTATATGTCCCATCCCTGGGTATCATTCTGGGCTTAAATACATTTCACATGATGAAATCCATTTCCTTCCAAGAAAACTCTTCATGAAGGATAATTTTCTGATTAGAAAAGCAAAACCAGTCTCATTTTAAAAATAAATTTGTAAAGTACAGAATAGTTACTTAAAAAATATAGTTCTTGGGACTAGGCAGATTTCACATCAGGGAATAGTCCAGTTTTTAGAAGGGTTCTGTGTTCCTATTAATAAATGAGGTGATGCTTACCTCATTGTTTTCCTTACCTAATATATGTGTTTATGACCTGAAAAGTATCATTCGACATTGACTAGAAAACTGTCACCATCAGTTCCCATGTGGTCCACATGCCATGATCCTACATGTCAGTGTCCATCAGTAGTAGAGTTATCACATTAGGTGCGATGGACACCTCTTGAGTGACTGGTCTTCATGGAGGGAGTTTCAAGTGAGCCTCTTTTTAGTAACCTTTTCGGCTTTCATAGGATCTGGTATATGAATATGTGCATATGTTATTAATAAAGCAGACGCTTAAAACCAATAATTTATTATTAGGGTTCTCTAACTCCAGAACGTAAAGTATTAGAAATATTAAGGAGAAGTGGCTTCCTTTTAGAGATAAATTAAAAACAATTGTTATATTTGTAAGATAAATCTTAAGGAGAGAGAAACAGAAGAAACATCCATAGGAGAGCATAAAAACTTCTAAAACCAGTTAAACCAGCCATTTTAAAGAAACAGTTCGGCAGTATGCAATGAAAGAAATAAATATTTGTATAACTTAAATATGGGTTGTTGCTGCTGTTTGCTGTTCTAACATAGTAATAATTCATTTAAAAATCTTGCATAAATAATCTTCTGTACACAAAAAATTTTATAAATGTCAGGTTCATTGCAGGGTTAGTTATGATAATAGAAAAACTGGGAGCAACAAAATTGACAAAAACACTATAGTCTTTGGTATATACTAGTGGTCTAATGTGAATTTGTTTAAAATGTTCATGGTGACTATATAAACATTGAAAACAATCTGCAAAGTGTATAAGACAGATAATTGTATCTACAGTGTATATGTAGCTGTAAAATAAAAACTGACGGTATTTTAACAATAATTACAAGGTAATTGTTGGAAGTATAGAGTCCTGTTCTTTTTTCCTTTTATATTTTTCAAAATTTTCTTTAACGAGCATTGCTTTTATAATGGAAAGACTACTTTTGCAAAAAATTTTTGAATTTTCATAATAATAGAAACCTTTGAAGCCTGAAAGAGATACCGTATAGGTATATGAAAGTGTTAGAAGTTTACACTGTAGGTAGTTTATATGTGGAACTCATTAACCTCAGATGTCATGCAAGCTGGAAATATAAACAGATTCAAGAAGATTTTGATAAGTTCCTGGCCAAAAAATAAAACAATGAAACAACTTATGGATATTACAGGTCAAATTCTGGCCTTTTGCCGTTTGATTCATGATCAACATGTTTAAGAGTAACACATCCCTTGGTGCCCACATCAGAAGCAACATCGTATAAATGCCCACTTATTTACGTACAATACTGCTTTGTGCTAGGCACTGTGATAAGCATTGTGCATAAATTATGTGACTTATCACAACGACCTACAATGGTCTACATTTTTTAAATGAAGAATACAAGACTGATCAAGGTTAAACAGCTATTAAGGTCACACAGCTAGAGGCAAGGAACTTCCTAAAAGAGCTGTAACACTGGTCAAGGGCTGTAACACTGAAGACAGCAAGAGGCCCAGAAGGGGCCCAGCAGCAGAGTCCATGGTGACAGACGTCGAGGCCAAGAGGAGCCTGTCCTGAGGGGGCCGAGAGGAGGCCTGCATGGCTAAGAGGAGCTGAGAGAGCTGTCCTGCACTGAAGAAAGGAGATTTTGCCTACATGCTTCCTGATCCTAATCCTGAGTTGTACCGTGTTACTTCCTTAATAAACCACTTCACCTTAAAAAAAAAAAAATCACACAGCTAGTAAACCAGAGTCAGGATTTAAGCGAGCACATCTGACTCCAGAAGCCCAGGATTGCAAGCACCTCACTGAGCTACTTGCATATTAGACTATATAGCATTTCTTGTATTCCTGTGATTTTATTTGTAAAGGGCCGCAGGGAAATTTTCTGCAGTTCTTGTTTTATGTTTATTGCAATATGGCTTATTTAAGTATTGTATAATAGGTACAGTGTGGCAATAGAGAATTTACCCAGTTATCTGAGTACCTCTGCTATAGAGAGTAAAACGAATAGTTGTGCTGGTTGTTTTCTTGTTTTTGTTTTGTTTTTTAAGCCCTGAATTAACTCAGTTCATTTGGCCAGTCTAAATCTGTATGTTTCCGAAAATAATTCCTCAATTCTCCATTTCTCTTTGCCTTGGTAGAAACAGCCTCCATCTAAATCATGAGTTAATAAGACATACAATTGGTATTGTTTCTGCTTCTTTTTGTTAGTATTTTTCTTAATGTTTTGAAGATGGATAACTAATGTTTAAAAAAAAAAAAAGAAGCTGTTTTCTACAAAGGATTGGAGGTATCTTTGCCTATTGAAATTCCAGAAGGAAGATGCCTTTCAGAAACTCAGTCTTGAAGAGTACAATGTATTTCTAAAGTAGATTGGAGCATTTCATTTGAACCATTCTGTAAAAGAACCCCTCTCCCAGTGTTCTCTAGGCACGGTAACCTTGGAAGTCGGAAGAATCAAAACTGGTCCATTCCATTCAGAGAGGAGGCCGTCTCAAAGCAGCCAGGTGGGTCGCTGTGCAGTTCAGTGTGGTGGCGCCTACTCGTCAAAGAGCATTCATAGTGGGCCCTGAACGCGGGTCTCCCCAGGGTCGTGTACACAGCCTGGCCCTTGGCAGCGTCAGCTCCCTCTGTGCCCCTCTCTGGAGCAGATCTCAGCATTCCTGTCACATCTCCCGTAAGAAATCCAGCTCCATCGTGCACCAACAGAAAATGATATGTTAATGAAGGTTTTATGGATTGCCAGGGGATTGGGTTCAAGACACACTGTATTCCAACCCCTAAACGTCCTTATTCCATATGTCTTCACCCTTCTCCCTCATTAGCTTTCAGATTAACTCTTCTCTCCACTGAGCTTTCCTCCCTGTAGCAACTAAGTAAATCACCTTCATTGTCAGTGATTCGCGCTGCCCTCAGTTTGGATAACCTAACAACCCAGCACAGCATAAGCTCAGTGGCTGAACAGCCACTGCTATTTCTTAAGCCTGCCCTTTCGAGGGTCCCAGCAACAGCCCGGCTTCAGGGCTGAGTGAAGCTGTGAGGAAACATTTTTGCTTGAGTGTTTTTGAGTGTTAACCTTTAGAATAACAAGCTCCCAAACAAGCATGCTCCCAAAACACAGACTTTATGTAGGGAAGGCAAACGTTCCTGGACAAACTGACCAAAAGTCCACAGTCAATTGAATACGAAAATAACAAACCAGATATTTGACTTTATCGCCCACTTTCAGTCTGAGGAGGCGCACTGTTGTTTCTAGTTCAAATTTCTGTTGATTTTTACTATGTGTCCTAAAAGTTTTAGGAGTAGGTGTCTTAATGAACAACTCATACTGTTATTAAATAAGCATTAGTATATCTGTCTTAGTCATATTCTTCCATAATTTAATGACTAAATCTCTTTGGAGGTGATTTTAAAATTAGCTAATAGGTTTAGTCTAAATTAGGCTAATTTTTAGACTTGTCAAATTTGTATAATTTAGATAAGGATTTGTATAGTTAAGCCAATATGGAAATATTCCAGTTATTGAGAATCCTTACAGTTGAGCTATTTTATTTGTGCCTGGATAGAACCTCACTTCAGCATATCTAGGATCCCCATATTTAGTTTTTGAAAGTAACGTAAGTTGTAATAAGACTGGCATCTAGAATATAGAAGAAATGACAGTTGTGTTTGGGAGTGGAAATTATAATTAAAGACATGTCCCTGACCTATTCTGAGCAACTCTAAAATGTCCATTTTGGGGACTGGCTAATTAGTTTAGATTTTAGTAGTTGTTTTGTTTTTGTTGATAAGCTTTTATTTTGAAATAGTTGTAAACCACAAGAAGTTGCAGAAATAGCACAGAAAGTGCTGTGTACCCTCCCCCCAGCTTCCCCTAGTGGTAGTATCTTACATAACTAGTCTTGGAAGAAGTATAGCCAGAATGCTCCTTAGAAGCAAGGATGGCGAGACTGTCTTACATAGCTACAGTACAGTATCGAAATCAGGAAATTGACATTAGTACAGTGTTTTTTAATAGCTATTTCATAGCTGTCTCTGTTAGTCTGACCTTGTGGAGACAAGCTGTGGCATTAATAATTGAAACTGAGAAATTGACTTTTTCCATAAGGAGATGATTGTTGATGGGAAGTATTTAGTTTTGTATCACAAGGGCTATAATGGCTGTTATGAATAAATGATTCAATTACTTAGTCAATAAACACATAATCCATCTCAGCTAAGTGCCAGGTACTGTGGCAGGAGCTTGGAATATAGCAATAAATACAACACATTTGTTGTCTTGAAGAAACATAGTCTAAGTAGAGAAAATAGGCACTCCATGTGCATGTCACAATGCATAGGTATTCTGGTAGAGGCACGCCCAGGTTGCTTGGATTGCGCTAAGGTGATCTACATAGACTCAGTATCATGATTTAGATAAGCAGTCTCTGAACTGAATCAGTCTTAATGATCAGCTAAGAAGTAATTCTGGCAAGTGTGTTCAAGAGAGAGGAGCATATGCAAAGCCTCAGGAGCATGAGAAAGCATGGTCCACTCAGTGAATTACACATAGTTCAGAGTAACTGAAGTGCAGAGTTTGAGATAAGGAAGGGCAAGAGTTAACAGTGGACAGGTAAGTAAGGTGCAGATCTTGAATAGTTAGTAAGTCATTCAAAAGAACTTTATTCTTCTTTTCAGCCATGATTTTTTTCCCATTATCTCAGCAGTTAACCACTGTGCTGCTAACTGCACTGTTAAAGGTGCCAGGTGCACAGACCCCGTCTTTATCGCTAACTGTGTGGCAAGAATCAACATGAATCCAATTGCTATCTGGAAGTGGACCCAGGCTCCACCTTCCCACATCTCCATTGCTTGTCACCAGCCACTTTTGTGGTACTTCTTCCTTCACCCTAACCACCCAGAGTTAGGTCAGACTTTATCCCCAGCCACCCTGAGCCAAGTCAGAATGCCCTAGCCACCCAGACCAGGTCATCTGATAGCAGCCGTAGGCTCAAGAGTCTGCACAACTCCCTGCACTTCAGACCAGCCAGCCTCCCTCCGTCTAGCCCCCTGGGCCTAGGTCACAAGCTAGAAGAACTCTGACCTTCTTCACTGATGCCTGCGCAGCTGGGTCTTCACAAGATGGGTCTTAACAAGTTAGGACTCTGTCCTTACTACTTCTTGTGCAGCCCTTCTCTGAATTAGCCACCCTGAACTAAATCACAGTCTCATGGCCCCCCTTACCAAACCCCACTGCCATTAAGTCGATACCAACTTATAGCGAATACAACTGCCCCATAGGGTTTCCAAGGAGTGACTGGTGGATTCAAACTTCATCCTTTTGGTTAGCAGCCAAGCTCTTAACCACTGCATACCAGGGCTGCAACCACCTAATATATGAAAAGCCTACAAATAGAACTTTTTTTTTAGTATTTTATGGGAAACATTTATCAATCAATATTCAACTGAAAAAGATCTTGTATAGGTGAACTGTAATTGCTCACCACCGTGTATAAAAATACAGTGCTGTTCAAGAATCTTGGCAAGCCCTGCTCCTCAGTCTTATCTTCTGATGACAGAAGCCCGTTTTCATCAGCCTGTCTGTCCTTAATGACCCCTTATTCACCTCTTTAATTTCTGCCATTAGTTTCCTGTTGACTGACCCTAATTCTTCAGATTTTGCTTAAATCAAATGTACAGCATCAGTTTAAATTTAGAGAAGATTAGCTTGAATGAGATTATGAAAATCATTAAAATTTTAGGTACGTTGGAATCAATTTTATCCATCCTTTTGGCTTCAATTTATTTGTCACTAAGCAAATTATTCCTTCAAAAATTAAAAAAAAAAAAAAAAATCGGAAGAAAATACATTTAAATTGCCCTTCAAATGCTCAAATGCCATTGTTTAGAGATATTTGTCTCTAGATGCACTGAAAGAATTGAATTCTAAAATGAATGCTATTTAGGGGGTATGATTACCTCTAAACTTTCCAAAATAACTATTGTATATTTGTAGGTGAGTGAAGGCAGCCTGTCATCTTTCACTTTTCCACTCTCTGGATCCAGTACCTCTGAGTCAGTGGAAAGTACTTCCAAGAAGAATGCATGTAAGATTGGTTTGATATTTTAAGCATGATTTCCTGTTTTGAATTTTGACCATCCGCACTAATGTTTTCCTATTTTAATTTACCTCTGAGCTCTCTTTTCTTCCCCCAGATCATTATATATCTTAGCAAAGGTCCAAAAATGGTAGGTATGTTGTCAAAAATTCTAAACAGCATGACGTCGTACCCATGGCAGCTTGCCCCATTTGGTGTTTATCCTACAAGATATACTAAACATTAGACTCAGAATTTTTAATTTTTTCTTACTAAGCAGATTGGTGTTATTTGTTTAATGTAATGCCAGTACATCAGAAGATGCCATTAAGTGAAGCCTTCTTTTTTCCATGAAGTTTGCAAAAATTTTGATTGAGAAAATTAATATGATCCCCCTGTGTTTTAATTACATGAAATCATGATGCAGAGGGTTTTTTGGCTTGGAGCATTGGTTGAGAGTTGTTCAAATTAAAGAAACTAACCATATGGCAATCTCTGTTTTCAATGTGACTAATAGTCTAGAAATTTAGGCACTTAAGTCCATGAATTTTTTTTAGGCAACCATGAGTTTATTCCTCTCAGCTGTGCACGTGTGTGTGTCTTTCTGTCCAAAGCACATTCTGTCCTTGACTCATTCAAAATGGACTATACAGTTATATAATCAATGCTTAAAACAAGAAGGAAGAAATGGAACAGTATGTCCATTGTTCCTACCGAAGAAATAAAGAGTTCTTATGTAAGATAAATCTAATTGTGGAATAAGAATATTAAGCACCCATTTCATTTAAAAAAAAAGGAGCCCTGGTGGCTTAGTGGTTAAATAGAGCTTGGCTGCTAACTGAAACGTCGGCAGTTTGAATCCACCAGCTGCTCCACGAGAGAAACGTGTGGCAATCTGCTTTTGTAAAGATTCCAGAAACCCTATGGGGCAGTTGTACTCTGTACTAAAGGGTGGCTGTGAGTCAGAATCAACTCCACGGCAGTGGGTTTGGTTTTGGTTCATAGAAAGAAAGAAAAAGAATATTAAGGTATGCCATTTAGTACCACCCAGCTCCAGGAATCAACTCAGATGTTTATGAACATAAAGTTTTAATAACCATATTTTATATTTTTCACCTTTACAGTGGCATCTGAAATACAAGGATTGAGAACAGTTGAAATAAAAAAGGTAACTTGGGGGAGAGAAAACAATGTAAACTCTGTTGACTTCAGAGACATATGCATTTTCTGTAGCTGACTTTCTGTTTTAAAGTTCTTACCTGAAAAAATATGTCTTGTAGGCAGTGGAAATAGCACAACACAGCCTTTGCTGAATTTCCTGGCCATAGTACATTGTTTGAAAAAAATCATTGTTTGCTTATTCTGTAAGATCAAAAATGGTATCAACCTGGCCCCACCCTAAATAATGCCCTCTCATGCTGATAAGTAAGCATTTGTCTTCAGTAGATGTTTCCTAGTTCCCCTGAAAATTCTATGCACAAGCAGGAAAATAAAAGCAGCGAGCATTGATTGAGCCTTTGCTCTGTGCTGAACACTCTTGTAGAACCTTCCTGTCATCATCATTCCATTTAATATGCACTGCAGCCCCATGTGAGAGGCTTTGTTACCTCTGGTCTGTAAATGAAGGTCTAGTGAGTCCTTGAGCTCAGTGGACTTGTTCCAGGTCCCAGTGTTTTGAAGTGTGGGCTCCTGCCTTTGAACATAGGTCTCTCTGATTCCAAACCTTGTGCTCATTTCATCAGTTTACCTGCTTTTCATCAGTCTGACACATGATTTTCATTTAGTTTATCTTTATTTCTTTTACTTCCTAGACAGATTGTTATTTTCCTAAATCACACGAAGTAATGCATTTTCCTTGACCCCATTTCCCACCCTCACACCTAGAAGATCAGAGTTAATGATATAGTATTGTGCCAGAGAAACAAAATGTTGATTAAAAATATCACTTGGACCAAACTCTTAATGCCTTTTCTATGGTAGGGACCTACTGACTCTTTGGGAATCAGCATTGCTGGAGGAGTAGGCAGCGCTCTCGGTGACGTTCCTATATTTATTGCCATGATGCACCCAAATGGAGTAGCAGCTCAGACCCAGAAACTCAGAGTAAGTTTTACTGCTAGTAACAATAGCCCTAGCAAACGTAGTGAAAAATTTTCTAAACCCCTTGAATCTTGCCAACTGTTGCAAGATGAAAAATGCCTGCTTTTGCTTTTCAGTCAGGTAATCTAGCCACAGCATGGCTTGCTTTGGGTAAAGGATAAAGAAAATTAAAAGAAAGGAAAAAATGATGTTATTGTATGCAAATTTGAAAGTAAATGAAATGGGAAGGTTAACAGTTGTTTCTTAATTTTTTTTACTTGTTTTGAAACTGTGGAACAAGTTACACAGAAAAAACACAAAAGCAGTGTTTTCAGAGCACCAGAATAAATTGTTTTCTTTGCATGTTTCATTAGTTTGAATATCTGTTTAACTTTATTAAAATGAAAATTATCCCTTATGTTGCATTTGATTATAAATTTTGCAGAAGTTTAATAAAATTATGACTTATAATGTTACAAAACTTGCTTCAAAGTTGAAGGATTATCCGAACGTACAGCACCATGATGGAATTTATGCTAACTGCCTAGCTCTCAAATCATAAGAATATTCCATTAAAGTAATTCAGTCTCTTGAAAGTAAAATCTGTATGGCCTCATGCCTCAAACAGGTCCCAGAATAGAACCATGTCTTAGTTCAATCTAAATTGGGAATAGTTCAATCTCCTTTGATATCTAAATCTATGGCTGACACTTAAGAACTGTTTCTATACTTAGCACAGGGTAAGCAAACTTTTCTGCAGAGGGCCAGATAGGAAATCTTTTAGGCTTTGGGAACATATGGGTCTCTGCTGCAGCTACCCAGCTCTGCCGTGCATAGGAGTGTGAAAGCAGCCAAATGAGCATGGCTGTGTTCCAGCAAAACTTTATTAACCAAAACAGGCAGTAGGCTGAATTTGGCCCATGGGCTAGTTTGCTAACCCTTGGCTTAGAGTCACATCTCATGTTTATAATAATAATGCCCAGAGAAATTCTGGTTTCCAAATGATACCAAATATTTTATTCTTTCAATAGGAAGTAATGTCTTAGCCAGGAGAAGTGAAATGAAGGGAAATGTGGCTTTCTCCCCGCTCCTTCCCCGGAGACTATAGAACTCAATCATTATGAGCGTCTTCTTTTTATGGCTGCCGCTGCTTCTTGGACTTCTTGGAATCAGTGGTTTCCTTGGTTTCAGTTGCTGATAACAGCATATATGTGATGTGGATAGTAGAGAAGGAAATGACTGTTCAGCTCTGAACATCCCACTCCCGATTACTGTTTTAGCAGACGGCTATTTCTTTCTCCTGGAGGCATTGGTAATTCAGTGGTAGAATTTCTTGCCTTCCATGCGGGTTCAATTCCCGGCCAGTGCTCCTCAAACACAGCCACCACCCATCTGTCAGTGGAGGCTGGCTTGTGGCTATGATGCTGAACAGGTTTCAGCGAGCTTTCAGACTAACACAGACTAGGAAGAAAGGCCTAGTGATCTGCTTCTGAAAATCAGCCAATGAAAACCCTGTGGATCACAATGGCCTGATCCGAAACCGATCTGGGGGGTGACAAAGGATTAGGCAACATTTCTTTCCACTGTGCATGGGCTGACTGTAAGTCAGTTGCCAGCTTGACAGCTAACAACATTTCTTCCTCTCCCTTACAGGTTGGAGATAGAATTGTCACTATTTGTGGCACATCCACTGAGGGAATGACTCACACCCAAGCAGTGAACTTACTGAAAAATGCTTCTGGCTCCATTGAAATGCAGGTGAGATTTTTATCCTAAGCACTATTTAGAATATGGGTAGCTTGAGGACAAAACAAATTTTGAAGTTAGAGCAGTAAAAATTATTCAATCTTTTGCTATTTTTTTTTTTTAATATTTCCACTGAAGATCAGTGATTAAATTGAGAGTTCCAAGAAAGTACTTATGAAACACATTCCCTAGCATTTTCTCCTGATATATTTATTGTCTCATACTTTATATCTAAAGGGGAAAAAAAGACAAAGACTTAGCAATAAATGTTTAATTACTAGAATTTTAAGTGCTGTGAGTATATTTTAATGATATTTAAAAAATAACTGCATGTGAGACCATGTTTTAAAAGCACTAGAGAACTTTGTAGAATTGAATTAGTAGAATATTTTACTCTCGGTTGAAAAGACCTCTGGACCTCACGAAATTTCTCTCTTTGGTTGTATTTCATATTAACAGAAATTATTAAGTTGACCATGTTCACATTTCAATCACAATGCTCTTTTTGAAGAAAAATTGCAAGTGTCCCTTAGCCACGTGAACATGTGTTTTTCTCTTTATACGTCCTTATCTGATGCACAGGTGGTTGCTGGAGGAGACGTGAGTGTGGTCACAGGCCATCAGCAGGAACCTGCCAGTTCTAGTTTGTCTTTCATAGGGCTGGCATCAAGTGGTATATTTCAAGATGACTTAGGGTAAGCTCATATTTTATGGTTTATGTACCATTTGTCTGAGGAGCCCTGGTGGGGCACAGTGGTTAAAGAGCCCAGCTGCTAACCGAAAGGTCTCCAGTTCAAACTCACCAGGTGCTCTATGGGAGAAAGATGTGGCAGTCTGCTTCTTTAAAAATTTACAGCCTTGGAAACCCTGTGGGGCAGTTCTACTCTGTCCTATAAGATCACTATGAGTCAGAATCTACTTGACAGCAATGGGTTTGTGTTTTGGTATTACATTGTTGATAATTTTTCCCTCTGAGTTTTGGAATACTGACATTTATGACTTACTCCATGACACTCCTCTGCACTTTAGCCCTCTCACTTTTAATCAGCTCTAAAAAGAATGGGCTCTTACGTGCAACGAGAACATGCCATGAATATGTTAGTTTAAGGGAACCATAAATGAGTACTAGAATTAGGGTGTTAAGTAGGATTTTATGAGATTATGTAAATTTAAAATACTGAACAGAGCATGCACTAACAGTTCAAGAATTACAAAAATATTCAGAATATATCTGTTGTCAGCAACACAGAGAATATACTAGCTCTAGGCAGATGTAAGCTAATCTGTACTTTATAGCTTCACAGATACATGTATAGATATGTATAAAAAAAAATTCAAAACCTCTTTTTTTCATTGCCTTTACTGTAGACCTCCTCAGTGCAAGTCTATTACGCTGGACCGAGGACCAGATGGTTTAGGCTTCAGTATAGTAGGCGGCTATGGCAGCCCTCATGGAGACTTACCCATTTATGTTAAAACCGTGTTTGCCAAGGTAAGCTCGCACACGCTAACCACTCCCTCCCCGCAAACATGCATTAATAGTGGTCAGCAGCTGGCTTATTAGTTTATGGCCTGAGGTAATGCCAAATGGTTAACAGTTGATCATTTTCTTTCAGAACTCCCTACAGAAATGGGTTATTAAATATTTTTGTCCAATTTGAGGTTTAGTTAATGTTTAAAGGAAAATAGGCTCAAATTGAAATTCCATAGGAACTCTCGGCAATATACATAGAAATATTAATGAACTTTGGTTGAACAGTAAGGCCTGTTTATTTCCTTTTCAGACAAGTTGCACATGATTGTCTTTTGAAAATGGGACATTTTAGATACGGATGCATTAGAGTGCTGGCTTTTCTTTTTCTTAGCATTTTTTCTGTTGTGAAGTATAAAATATATACAGAAAAGTAAATAAAACACGTGCAGATTACTAACAGGTCATTTATTTTGCAAATTGAATTTGATCGCATTAAATAGAAAAATAACTATTGACAAAAATTTGAAGAGTATTCAGCAGCCCTGTCGCCTACAGTAAGTCAATTATTTGCAAAACAAGTGAGTCAATAAAACAACAAAAACTTTTTTTTGGTAATCTATTACTAAAACTGTTCTAATCTTAAGAATGTTTAAAAAAGAATAAAGCTATTGCAAAATGCTGATTGAAGCCATTAAAATCACTTACACCGGTATAATTATTGTTAATATATTGGTAAGAAACTTTTTCAGGAGCCACAAAATTGGACAAAATTTCCTGCAGAAGATAATCACAAATTATACAATTTTACAGTGCAAAAAAGCAAAACTTACATCAAACCTGTTAGAAGATTTGAACAGGGGTGTTAGTGTTATGGTTCCTTGAAGTACCTACCTGTGGAAGTTACATTCTGTTATTTTTAAAAACAACCATTACTGTTATTTTTAACCAATTTAAAGTGCTATACGAACAGCAAGCTAGTTGTAGGTTTAATTTTCGAGATTTTTTTTTTTTTTAAGTCGTTGGTGTGTCCAAAAATATGAACAGCATTTGCCAGGGAATAGAAGAGTCGTGCAGTCCTTTTCCTCAGCTGAGGAACAATTTATTTAAGGCATGCTAGTTAGAACATATTTTAAGAATTTCATCATTATGGATTCCTCATTAACTTTTCCATATTTTTAATCTTATATTTAATTGCACAATCGCCTACTATAAGCATGCCATAAGATGGGGCTCTCTTTCAAATAGCAATGTCTGTATTTAATCTAAATCATTTAGGGCCCATAAGGAATAGTAAGGACTCATCTATCTGTGGGAAGTAAAGAATCAAGACAGCTTGAGCAGCCTTTTGAAAAGCATAGAATGAGTAAGAGTTAGAAGCGTGTTTTAAATTCAGTACCTGTGCCTAGTCCTGCCCTTGAAGCTGTGCAGTTGGGCTTTGAACATTGGCTTTGCTTCTGTAGCCTTTCGGGTTTTGTGGGTCACGTGCTTATCCTGCAAAACCGATTTTCTTCCTGCCTGATCCCCTGTCTTCTTTCTGTAGGTCTTCTTTATCGAATAGACAATTCTAGATTCTATGAAATCATTCCTACTAGGCAAATTCCCAAATAGTCTTTATTAATTGGAAATCCCACCAACTGCTGTGCTGAACAGCCAAAAAACCACCCAACTAATGTCTACTGACTGCTGAATTCTCTCTCAAATTGGAATCTCAGTGCTAAAACCATTTCAGAAAAGGCCTCCTTTGTGTACGTTCGTCATTGGTTAATGACTGTGGCGTGCCCGTGGAGCACCGGGAGCAATGCGTGTACACGCAGAGCAATTTACATTCTTGTTTAGGTCTTTTTCTGTTATGTAGCTGCGAGGCAGCATTTTCTGAGAAGTAAACAAGCCTACTTGTAATTGCAGGGAGCAGCCTCCGAAGATGGGCGTCTAAAAAGGGGTGATCAGATCATTGCTGTCAATGGGCAGAGTCTGGAAGGGGTAACCCATGAAGAAGCTGTTGCCATTCTTAAGCGGACAAAAGGCACTGTCACTTTGATGGTTCTCTCCTGAATTGCTTCCAGAATGGAGTCCACTCAACCCCTCGTTTGCATTCTACACTGTGAAGAGAATGGAACCAGTCTTGTGAACAACTTTTCCCAGGCTGTGTTCATCGGGCTCTTAAGAGCTGTAGGGGAAAAATAACATTTTAGTTTGTTTTTCTCATGTGGACAAGATGTTCTTACGGTAGCATCATTTTCCCTTTCCCCTGGTGTTCTGTGAACCTAAACTCAAAGAAAAGAAATATTTGCATAGATAATCTGGTCTTTCTTTGGGAAGATAGCTGACATTTTTGTAGTCAAATAGGCAAAAATTATTATGTGCTGATCTGATGAGTAGAGAGAGAAAAATAATTGTAAATCTAACCTAAGAGAAATGGCTTCAGTAACTTAGGGTGAAAAATAAAGAAGAATATCTTGAAGTGAAGAGTTTTATAAAAATGCCTGATTTTGCTCATCCACCTCCTCTCTCCATCTCCAAGAAGAAAGAAAAGAAAATTAGAAAAAAAGCCTCTTTCTACTGAAAGGCTTAAAAAAATATTCTCAGTATTTAAAAAATTTGAATATCATAAAAAAATGCATCTCCCCACCTCTAACACGCACAGATTTTTTTTCTGCTAAGATCTCCATGAGTCAGGGGCTGACTCGACCACAGCTAACAACAGAGAATCAGTTGCTGAGAGTATGAGGAAACAGCAAATATATGACTCCATGTTCCCCAGTTTGTAAAGAAAATGTATCTAATGCTCATCTGAATGTTCACGTTCATTTTTGACCTGTTCTAAAATTTTTTCGCATGGCTGTAAGTAAAATAATGATGCTACCCTGTGTTGACTGCAGTTTCTCTTAGAAAGCGGCCATGCTAACCATGGAGGAACGTGGAAGAATCCCAGCATCCTTTAGTGCTGGTTTTTAGCAACTCACGCCACACTAAAAATGTGTTAGTGCGCTGTGCGATTGGTTGTTAGTTAGTATTAATCTTAAATGACAGAAAAAAGCAGTATGCTAGTAATTATTTTGGTCATATGCCATTAGTAAATTGATAGAAAAATTAAGAGGATTAACATAACTTCATTCCATTGCCTTATATTAACATCTTATAATACAATAGTTTTTAAGACTAAGGGAAACAGATGGAGCTGTTTATTGAGACAACTGGTGAGGAATTATCATGTGTTCATTGCCATTTTAGAGCGTGAAACTCCTACATTAGAATATATAAAGTCACTTTAAATATTATCTATATTTGTAACAGAAGTAGTGTACAGATATTTTATTACAGCATTTTGTGTAAATGCAGAATTGAAGTGAATAAATAAGAAGTTTCAGTCGTGCACAAATAAAGCAGCAGGCATTTTGTGTGTGTGTGTGTGCTTTTTACTGGGGAAAAGCTTTATTATATTGTTCAAGATTTACGATCAAAATTGGTTTTCATCATGTCTAACTGAACGTACGGTGTCCATAGTTACTATTAGAGGATCTTTGACCACATCATTGTGTAAACCTCAATGTTTTCTGTGTCCAGATTTTTTCTGACACTGAAGATTCATAGATATTTCCTGGAGCAGAGAGAAATAAACAAAATTGTAGGAAGAGAAATGTCCAGCCTGTACCTGTTTTTCTGAGGGTCCATTAATGCAGAAATAGTACAAGTTTTTTGTTCTTTAGGGTTGTCAAGAGCTAAAGTGTGTTCAGATGAAAAATGAAAATTGTTTATATTAATAAGCATGAAAAGTCTGATTTGAGCACTGAGCAAGGAATTGGGAAATCTTTGTTCTAGTTCTGGAAACCCTGGTGGCGTGGTAGTTAAGAGCTACAACTGCTAACCAAAAAGGTCAGCAGTTCGAATCCATCAGGTGCTCCTTGAAAACTGTATGGGGCAGTTCTGCTCTGTCCTGTAGGGTTGCTATGAGTCAGAATCGACTCAATGGCTTTGGTTTTGGTTTTTGGTTTGTTCTAGTTCTACCACTAATTAGCTAATGAACTTGAGCAGTCTCTCTGGGATTCATTTCATCTATAAAATGATAGGTCATTGTATCTCAAGCTTCTGTCTAGTTCTAGGATATAAGAATTCTATTATTCTTAGTCATACAAAGTGATTGACCAAAGACTGCATCTCACAAAATTCACAAAAATTCAGAGATATGCTCCCCAGCCAATCATGGTAAAGTCACGTACTTAATGATAGAGTAAAATTCATTTCAGTATCCCAGTGGCATATCCAGTGTCTTAACAGTCATTCATTGGCCCTCCACCTTGAAAGTAAGGCTACCAGGACCCTTTCATGAGAGGCTGCTGGACACTGAGCTACTGTCTTTTGTACGTTTGAACTAGCAAAGATTTTTACAGAGATACTATGGGGGCAAGTCAACCAACCAAGTTAAAGTTTGAATATCAGAGACTACCTCCAATGAGAACAGCTCAGTGGGTATCTTAAACATTTTTATATCCTGAGCTACTATCATTATGCCTGGCTAATAGGAGAGGCTCTGTGTTTATTGAACATAGAATAACTAAAGGTCATGACTGATTCCATGGCTTTAAATTGCTTTAGAGAGCTAGCTGCAGCCTTCATACTAAATGCAAAAAAGAAACAGTGGAAGTGCCATTAAAAGGATATAAAAACATTTGGGAAACACTCACTTCCTGAGTTCCTATTAATTAACAAATTAATTTCTGTTAATTATCTTTCAAGCATTGAAAGGGAAGGAAGGAGGGAGGGAGAGAGAAAGGAAGGAAATTTAAGTTTCGAAGGAAAAGAGAATTTAGAATCGTAAACATTGTAGAGAAAAGACAACGGCTTATGGCCTCCTGTAACTATAAGAGCTCTCTGTGGTGAAGGAAGAAAGTGCTTGAGCAAAGAGTTTAAATAAAGACTTCAACATTACAGTGTCGCTGCCGTGTTCAGCCCAAGATAGCATATTGCGCATAATAGGTTCAATGTGAATGTTTGATTAAGTCAATCTAGGGAATGTCTTACATTTCTGGTGTTCTTCCTCTCTCCTCCAAAAAATAATATTAAAATGTTTAATTCTGTACAGACTGAAGTGTAGCAACAGGAGTAGCAATGAGGTGTAGCAAGTCAGTAGAATCCATAGATCAGATCAGTGATGGAATTGGAAACATAAAAAGATTAGAGTTAATGAAAGATAAAAAAAGGAGGAGAGTTTTTTAAGAATCTTTAGAAAGCAAATTTTGATAGATACAAAGAAGCAAAGGGGTGCTTCTCTGCCCTGAAATATACTATATTAAGCTGCCTTGGATCTGGTCGGCCAAGTTATTGTCTGAGAATGTTTGGGCAGTGATTTAGTGGCTGTCATGGATTGAATTGTGTCCCCCAAAAACTGTGTGTAGCACCTTGGCTAGGTCATGATTCCCAGTATTGTATGGTTGTATCTGATGTGATTTCCTTATGTGTTGTAAACTCTACCACTATGATGAGATTATATGTGATCTCCTCATGTGTTATAAATTCTATCACTTTGATGAGGTTATACTGATGAGGTTGACAAGATTATTGTCTTAATGCAATCTCTTTTGAGATATAAAAGAGAGAAGTGAGCAGAGACACATGGGAACCTCATACCACCAAGAAAGCAGTGCTGGGAGCAGAGAAGCTCCCAGACCAAAGGAAGATTGATGACACAGACCTTCCACCAGAGCCAACAAGAAAGCGTTCCCCTGGAGCTGATGCCCTGAATTTGGCCTTGTAGCCTACTGGACTGTGAGAGAATACATTTCTCTTTGTAAAGCCATCCACTTGTATTTCTGTTGGAGCAGCACTAGATGACTGAGACAGTGGCCCTCTTCAGATTTCAGTCAGAGGGAATGGAGAAGTGTAAAGGATGCCTGCAGGGAGACAAGAGTAAATAAGCTTTTTTTTTTTTTTTTTTTTTGGTGTAGGTGTGGGAATGTCAAAACTATCATCACCCGCTCCTAGTGTGTTGTTTCATGTCAGCGACAAGTATTCTGGAATGCATTTGATTTGTGCAAAGATGTTCCTCAACTTTGTCTACTGGGACTTGATGTTTAACTGCCCCTTTCTAAAGGGAGTTATTTGTAAGGCAGAATTGGCCTCTATTACCTCAATAGAAAAAAAAAAAAATTATTGGCACCAAGAGAATTTCTAAATGAAAGAGCGTGAAAACTAGTGAAAGCATATGTTCTTAAAGTGATTTTTATGTTTCATTTTGCAGCATCTTTTTCCCCCTCAAAATTTAGGTGTTCCATATTGTCCATTTTAATGTAAATTATAAAAAATGTGTATTCTTTATCTAAGAATTTTAATTATCTATTTTAGGCAAGTACTGAAGGTTCAGTAGTAGACTGTTAAAAGGGATTCTGTCAAGGAGGGAGACAAATCTATGGTAATGATCTCAGAATTGTCTCTCTGAAATGTTTCTTGAAGTTTCCAAAAGTACCACCATCGAAAGAATGCCTTAGGCAACTTCTTAACATTGAACATCTTGGAGAAGGTTGTGTCATTTGTGAATACTTTGTGATCCATTTTTCTGCCCCCTCCCACCCTCTTCCTTCTTACTTGCATATTTTCAGAGACAAACATAATTATCTTCAAAAATATACTTTTTTTCTTATTAAAGTAATAGAAATTATGATTTTTTTATCTGAAATATTTGGCATTCAAAGGTCCACTCCCATAAACTTCATTAAAAGTATTTTATTCCATTTACTAAAACTTACAGATTTACCTTTGCTTGGGAAAATTAAATGAGATACTGTACAGAAAGCATTGATACCATGCACAGTCAGCCATCAAGAAATAGTAATAGTTGTACATGTAATATCCTAAAAGACAGTGATATAAATAGTTTTCTTTAGGCTTAAAATTTCATTTTTATGTAATTGTGTGCCTTTTCCTTCTGAGATTAGATTCAAATAAACCTACACTTGTTTCTCTAAAATTGTTTTGCATCCAAACTTTGTTTCCCATATTTTGAATAGCTGTACTCTTAATCATTGAATATTTTTCTTCAAAGTAGACTAATTTTAAACTTAAAAGTACTTACAAGAGAAACTAAGTAGTTTAAATGGAAAACCAGTATCATTTGCCATAAAGTAACGATGAACGAAAGCCATATTATTAAATTCTATCAAGATACTAATGTCTACACAAGGATCAGAACTTGAGGCTGCTGTCTTTGTTAGGGAGACCCTGGGTGGTGCGGTTAAGTGGTGGACTACTTACTAACTGAAAGTCCGGCGATTCGAACCCACCCAGAGGCTCCTGGGAAGACAGGGCTGGCAGTCAGCTCTGAATGGCCACAGCTTTGAAAGCCCTATGGAGCAGTTCTACTCTGCACACGTGGGCTCACCTTGAGTTGAAACAACTAAGAACAACTCTTTGTTAGAAAGGGAGAATTGTAAATGTTACAACAGTGTCAAGACTCAGTGAAGACTCTCTCCTTGACTTAAAGGAACCAAAAGAATACTGAAAATACCTTTCTCATTATATGATTCAATATTTTCTAGGGCCTCATCACAGTGCCACTTAAAACGATGATCTTGCAATGTGCCCCTCTTTGGAAAAATGATTCTACCCAAATCAGGAAGGTTTTGTTTACAGATGTGTGTGCGTGTGTTTGTGTGTGTGTGTGTGTGTGTGTGTGTGTGTAAGCAAGATAGTCAACTGTTCTTAAGAGAATTCTTAGCTATTGAGGTTGCTTAAGATGTTGTTTACAATGTAAAGTTTTCTCTACAGTCAGAATTGGGTCTCGTGTCCAATGCTCTCGTTTTGGCAATCTTAGTTTGAAATAAAGGGCAAATGACATAAATTAATGGAGTAAAATTAATGTTCTGGTAATATTAAATAAAGCTAATGCCTCTTGCACCTGTAGGGCTATGCAGATGGCAGGCACACCTAATTATGCACCCTGCTGCCTTTAAGTGTACTGATAGAAATCTCTCAACTGACTATAAAATATGTTCATTTGCTGGCTCCAGAAAAGTTTGAATAAGGCCAGTCCATACACGAAAAAACACAGTCTAATATACCTACTTTTTAGAGGGGGGGAAAATGCAATCCTATAATTTAAATGAGATAATTATTTACCCCATTTTTAAAACAAGTCATTATTACAGTCATGGTCTTTGTACCTTCTATGAATATTATGTATCTTTCAGCCCAATTAGAA